TTTGCATATGCATGCTACTGCAGGTGTGCGTATGTGACGTATTTGTGTGGGCAAGGGGTACTTGTTTGTTGGTGTGATTATGTCTCTCTCTCTCTCTTTCTCTCTCTCTCTCTTTCTCTCTCTCTCTCTCTCTTTCACTCTCTCTCTCTCTATATTACTTTCTTGATATCGAACGTATTTACTATTGATCACTACATATCAATTCTTGTTGAGCTTTGTATTATTTATCCGCGCTCTGCTCGTGACGCCCATCCATTTTCCAGTATTATTTTTCTAGTATTGTTGTGAGTGCACACGATGACGTAGGTCGCCATTTTGTCCATGTGATCTTGGTGCGCGAGCCATGATCTTTTTTCTCTTGCTCTTTTAGTTTTAGTTCTTCTTGTGCAAAAGCAAGTAATTGGTCCAATGTCGAGTGGGATGTGAGTGTTGGCAAATAATTTCCGTTTGTCCATGGCAGGCAAGGACCTGAAGGTGAATGGATGCCTTGATAGGATCCGGGCACTGCGAACAGCAACCGACACCAGAGTTGGTGCAGTGTCCGCAGCTGCCACATTTGTGCAAGACAGTGTTGCCACGCCATCACCGCAGCTTTGCTACCATTGTGGAGAACCGGGCCACTTCAAAAGGCATTGCCCGAAGTTATCCCTAGCAGGGAATGGTACAAAACAAGAGCACCGGCGCAAGGACCTGTTCTGCCACTTCTGTGACAAGAAAGGGCATGTCAAGAAGGACTGCGTGCTGAGACAAAAGTGGCTGGATACACATGGTAGCTGCTAAGTTGATGGGGCCTCAGTCTACTCCAAGGGTGTGTACTTCCTGGCATCTGCATCATCATCGTGCCCGAAGCTACCTCGTGTGTTTGTTGAATGTGCTGGTCCTAACGCGAGTGACAGTGAGCGTGCTGCAGCAGTGATAGACACTGGCTCCACCCGGACGTTAGTAACAGAAGCCCTGCAGCATTGCCTTGGTCTCGATGTGACGCCACTGACGAGTAGTGACAGTGTTGCAGCGCTGGATGGCAACACCATGCAGACGTGTGGTACAGTGACCCTCACGTTTTGGAGGCATGACGGACCAGTGAGTATACATGAAGTGGTATTGAATGCTGTCGTTGTGCCTGATCTGTATGTAGTGGCCGCCGGCGTACTGATTGGCATTGACCTGGTGACTTTGTGTGGGCGCCTGTCTGTAGAGTATGCGAATGATCAGCTTGTGCGTGTCGTAATTCGGCCCGGTCCAGCTCACGCAGATAGTAGCCCGCCAGTGCAATTCGCATCAGTAGCTGTGGCGCCTCCTGAACAGTCTACA